GGTAATCGGTTAGGTTATTCGAGGTAACCGCAGGATGTCAGGGTTATAGTTTTATTGCTAACAGCTTTCACAAGAAGGGTTTTAATAAACAGAACTCACTAGCGCGACTTTGCCTAAGTGAAAAAAAAAAAAAAATAATAATAATAACTTATCTATGATAATATATAAATAGACAAGTTGCTGAGAAAGAGAACCAAATTAATAAAGAATAAGTTTTGTGAAAATTCAATTTTTATATTATAAAATTTATTAACTCCAAATATAAATGCAACAGCATTTATTCCATAAGTAAAAAATATTGAGTTAATTTTGCTCAAAAATATTTTTTTTAAACAGATATTGCCCCATTACTGACACCTAACCCAAATGTTACTTATTATCATTCAGACGCATTTTCAACGACTAATAAACCATACTCCATGAAGTTTTAAATTTGAAATTCAAGAATTACAGGGTTTCTCTTTACAAAATTTATTTTGTAAAATTATATTTCAAAAATAATACAGTAATATTTAGCACCTGATTTTGGCTGAAGCAGATTCTAAAACAAAACATCTTATATAAAGAGGAGTATATAGTATTTTGTAAAAGGGTAAATTATTATAGGAGTAGATCGGTTCTAAACTTCGCCACTTCTGGAATATCGACCAAATCTTTTCTTGTTATCTGGCAGGTATGATGTATACATTGATGGAATGTTTTTCATATTATACCGCAAATTTTTATATAATCTTTCACATGATTTTAATAAAAAACTGTGAAAAATTTTCTGTTAGTGTTTACAAAGTACTTGCCGGATAGGCTAAACTTACATCTATGATCGATATAATATGAAGAGCGGAAAAAGCATATCGGATACATAAAATATATGTCGCTTAGATTATATATAGCTACATTAAAGATAGACCAAATATAACTGAGTTCTATAGAAGAAAAACTCAAATGCTTATCTTGAATAAAGTAACTAAGTTAGAATTCAGCGTTGTAAAGTGTTTTATTCTTCTAATTCTTTCTCCCCGATATATAAAAAATAAACTTGTAACTTAATATTATCTCGCTCGTAACGTAATCTAGAGCTCTAATTGACTCTCATTATTTGGATCAAATCTGTCTACATCTCGATCGTACCTTTTACTATTAAGATTTAGTCAGAATTAGTTTAGATGTTATAGTATAGTGTTTATTATGTGTTATTCCTATTCCCGACCTGTCTTTTCTGAAACCAATTCACATTTTTTTCATGTCCACAGATCAAACGAAAAGTGAACTGAAATATTGTATAAAAAAAATTTTACATTAGCTTAGGGATTAATAAAAATGATAATAAACTTACCAAAGCCACATCAAAAATAGAACAGATAAAGTAATATCGCACATTACATTTGTGCTGATTGTTCAAAATCTCATTGATTTATATTTGAAATTTAATAAATTTTTATACAACTTAGTCAAACCTGTTTATTATTTCTTACGACAGGTGCCATAAGACCTTAATTTTCTTTATATTGATTTATTATTTCATTTATCATAAGTTTGCCACCAATAATGTTTGTAGAGCAAGGCATATATATTTGTTGAGTAAGGCATGATGTTTGTAGAGCAAGGCATATATATTTGTAGAGTAAGGCATGATGTTTGTAGAGTAAATAAGATGTGATGTAAGGCGTTGTATATATATAAAGATCGGAATAAGGCCAGTTAAACGTTAATAATGAAATTGAGCCGATGTATTTGTCACGTAACTTCACTTTACGCGACAAACAAAAAACTAGATCAAGAAATAATATAATAATTCTTTTCTATATTGATGTAAAGATATAAAAGAGACCTTTCTCGCCTTTAGAGGAAAGTATTCTTGTAATTTTCTACAAGAAGTAATCATTAGATAAATAAATTCCTTGTGCTAAAATAAAGCTATTGTTAAGCTATACTAAATCATTATATGACTTCTCTTAACTATTAAAATTCCAAGAGTCTAAGTTCAATTTAAAACCCTAGTCTAGTAACAACTGTTAATAACAAAAAACTGTGGCCATTGTTAGTATCACAACGTTTATTTAAACATTGAAGCCAAAAATTAAGAATATTATGGATAACGATACCCACATGTCAAGTGATATCGAATATTTTTCTGATACTAGAGTTCATAAAGATATTCATGAAGATGTTCATGAAGACATTCATGAAGACGTTTATAAAGATGTTCATGAAGATGTTCATGAAGACGTTCATGAAGATGTTCATGAAAATGTTCATGAAGATGTTCATGAAGTTGATCAGCCTTTTAATATATCAGCCAGACAAAAATCTACAAAGGATTTTGCGGATGAACCAAATTCAAAAAAAATTAGAGTTAATATCACTAAGTGTACCAAATCTGCAGATAAAAAACCAAGCTATGTTTGGGATTATTTTGAAGTTGAAGATGGGCGTACTGTCTGCAAGATATTTGTATTTCGAAAAGGAAAAGAGGTTGAATGCAACACAGTCTATAAATATGATGGTAGTACTGGAAATATGAAGCAACATCTTTTAATAAAATATGGAATCTTATCACCAGATGATTCTTAACAAAACCTGAATGAAAAACGCCAATTACGCGTCGATAATATGATTAAAAAAGCAATTCCACATAGTGCAGCTAAGCAAGCAGAGCTAAAATGAATTACAGCTGAATGGATAATTACTAATTCTTTATCATTCAATGTTGTTTATGAGAAAGGATACCGAAAAATGATGCGTCAAATTGATCCAGCATTTATACTACCAAGTAATAAATGTATTAAAAAGGATCTTATTAATGCTCATTCTAAAGGAATTGTAAAACTTAAAGAATTGATTTATACAACATGTGAAACAGCCTCTATAACGGTAGACTTATAGACAGCCCACAATAATAATGGATATATTGGAGTAACTCTTCATTGGTTAACTCCAGATTTTGAAGTTCGTGATGTGATACTAACAATTGAACAAATGGAACATCCACATACAGGTAAACAGATCCATGAGTACCTAATTAAAAAGATTAATGAATTTGGATTGTCAAAAAAAATAATATGTGCAATAACGGATAATAGAGCAAACATGAAGAAAGCAATTAGATTTTGGAATGGCGTAGAACGTCTTCCTTGCTCTGCATATACACTTTAACTTACCATAACCAAAGCCTTAAAAGAGATCAAGCTATATACTAAACGAGCCCGTAAGCTTATTAAGTTTTTTAAGTCTTCTAAACAGAGCCAACGTCTTGATCAAGCACAAGTTGAACTAGCCCAACGTAGCAGAATGGATCCCAAACCTATTCAACTACATAACTCTGACAATATATTTGAAATTTCTAAAGAAATAGAAAATAATGATTTAGAAATATCTGAAGATAATGAATTAAAAATTTTGCGTACTATTAATGATATAAAAACACGATGGAACTCATCTTATCATTCATGGAAGAGGCTTCTAGCATTACGCCAGGCAATTGAATGGCTTTCTGCAACCTTGCACTTGCAAAATGATGCCGGTTCTAGAGAGGATTCTTGTAAATTAAATACATGTATGCTTGAAAATAATGAATGGAAATTGTTAGAAGAAATGATAGAACTGCTTAAACCATTCAATGAGCTAACTACTTACTTTAGTGGTATCAAATATACTACTCTTTCGGTTGTTAGTCCAAGTATTGAGGCATTGAAATTTGAATTTGTGGATGGCTCTATATTGGAATCAAATGAAACAGAAGAAATTTCTGATGACAATTGGATTAATGAAAGTAAGTACAAATTTATCTTATAAAATTATTTGGATCACGTCTATTATGTGTGTGATTCTTTTATTTGTCACTAAAGTGTGAAAAATTATTCGGGTTACAAATAAGCGCCAACTGATTGATTTATATAAAATTGATTGGTTGGTAGTTATTCATCACATATTATTATTCATACCTGTGGCAAATTGAAGGGTCACCGATTTGCAAAATAAAAAATAAATTTTAATTTTCTTTCCAATTCTAGCTGAAACGTCTGATGATGATAGTTATAATGAGAGTAACATGACTCAACAACAACAGTTAACCACGGAACTTATAATTTCAAAGATTCGAGGAGTTATCTATAATTCTCTTTATGACTATTGGAGTGATTCAGAGAATATTAGATTGATTGCTACTGTATTAGACCCATGATTCAAATCAATAAGTACGTGGTCTAAAGATTTACGAAATAAAGCAATTAATGAATTATATACCGAATTTAAAACTTGGAAAGCCATAGTTGATAAGCTATCAGATTATACTGAAACAACATCTTCTTCATCTACACCTTCATTTATGAGAAAAATTTTTAGTGAGGCTCACGATGAAGTTGATCATGAAGTAGAAATTGATAATTATTTAAACAAAATGATCACACCAGTTCTGCGTGAACATACTAACATTTATCAATAGTGGCATACTAATCAACATTCTTTTCCCATTTTGAGTAGGATGGCACGCAAATATCTGTCAATTCCTGCTATATCCGTTCCAAGTGAACGTCTTTTCTCTGATGCAGGAAACCAAGTTACTGCTAAAAGAAACCATTTAAGTTCAGATATCATTAGCAAGTTATTATTTGTTAAACGCAATAGTATATACTGTGATGTATGAACCTAAATATATATAGGTCAATAGCTATTATTTAAAAAATATTATATATATTTTTTTGCCTTATTTTTTCTTCATATTTTGTAAGTTTGTCACGCATTATGTTTGTATAATAAGGTGTGATATTTGTAGAGTATAGCAACTTATTTATAGCGCGAAGCACTTCAGGTAGTGGATAAAACTAATATGAGGCTGAGTAAAGATTAATGATAGAATTTGGCTGGAGTATTTGTTGCGTTAAGCAAAGCTACGTGACAAACAGTATAGATAGATAAAAGAAAGATGTGATAATATTATTCCCTATACGAATATAAAGTATAAAAGAGTCCTTTCTTGCCCATATAAGTATTAAATAATAAAGAATTCTTTGTTATAAATTAACATTATTGTTAATAGTATATTGAATTCACTACTTATTATCTATTTTACAATCCTAACCTTATTTTTCTTCCAATTATTATCATGAGCTCTCCCACTATTCCATCATCGGTTATTCAAATTTTAGAACTTTTACAGCATCAAATCTGGGAAGTCAATATTTATAGAACTTTCAGGATTTTAGCACATGAAATCCTATATTATGAACCAGTTGCTCCTTGTGTCAGTAAAGAAGCAACCCTGAACCGTATAAATGATGCACAGAGAATACATTCACGAATGCCTCTTTATATTGATGATTTAAAGAATAATGGAATACCTATTCGAGATCCTGTAAAAATTGTTGGTAGAAGTGTTGAAGAACAACTATACTATTTATGTGATCAATTAGCTCAATCACCTATCAATCCTGTTGTCTCTTTGCAGTATCATTTCTATTTAGGAATGCTATTGGAAAATGAACTGGCAAAAGATATTATTGACCTTCATTTTTCTAGTACAAAGCGTTGAGAAATTATTAGAATAGCTAAACAGACCTATGAGTTATATAAAATGCGAGGATTTATAAATCTTCTAGTGGCAAGGCGCATTACCCCTTTTGTCCTATTAAAAATGTATAATGAAGATTTTAGGGATCTAGTGAAGGTAGCTCAAGAATGTAAAAAAAATGAAGAAAGAGATTTAATCGCCCTGTACAATTTAGATGAAACAGAGTCTTAAAATATTGGATATACCAAACCTTGCATTTTTTTTTTTATTTATTTTATTTTTTTTTTTAGTTCTTATTTTTCTTGTATTTATTTTCATTTGTTGCTAGTTCACAGTGTGAGATTTGTGAAAGTGAATTAGTTGTAATGTAAAGCTCTATAGGTGGCGTATAAAGAATGGTGCGGCTGAGTAAGGATAATAATAGAATTGGGCTAAAGCATTTGTTGTGCAACAAAAAGCTATGAGACAAACAATGAAGATAGTTAATAGAACTATGTGATAATTTTTATTATCTGTAAAATGTTAAAAATATAAAGAATACTATTGTTGTCCTTAGAGAAAAAATGCTAATATTGATAAATTAATATTATTTTTCTTATTTATCAAGCTTAATTTAGTAATGCTTATTTTTTTTTTTTAAAAAAAAAAGTAAAATATTAATAATCTCTACAATAATATTGAAGCTTCATAATTGCTAATTACTAGTGCCAAACCTATACTTTCAATAGTGCCCCCAAGCCAATATTAAAATAAATATTAAGTACTAACCTTTTAATTTGAAATATTCGTGATCTTGGAATTGTGTAGCTATTATCATCGAAATTCAGATCATGGTTCCAAGACAAGTGCAATTAAGTAACATAATAGGTAGATTAATAATCCAATGTTAGAGAAAATAAAACAAATACTCAAAATACTTAGCTTTAACACTTGTATATAGAATTTGAAACTAGATTCGGTCTTCAGATTTAAATCTGATTTTTTTCAAATTCGAATTAAATCTGAATATCAAAGCGAATGTATCGAATTTGTAAAGCAACAATAATCTAAAACATACAAAAGACAAAAGCATTCGACAACCTATAAAATTGCTGTAATGATAAATAGTGCATATAATAAATCCCTTGTCTTTAGGTAGTTGAAACTTTTTTCACTGAATGTATCAATTGAATGTATGTACTTACGTAATTTTTAGCCAATTAGATAGAAAGATCAGGTGTAATGAAATCTTTAGGGGCTAGGAGCAGGGCTTAAAATCCTATATTGAAATGCCAGCCATTTAAAAATATCATTTTTGATCTATAGTATAATTGGCTGATATAGTAAACAATAAGATGAATCAAGAAAAACACTTCAAACAATAGGCTGCAGGACGCAAATTACTATAGAATTTTAAGCCTTGATTAGGAGTAAGGAGGGAAATTTTTGTGTGGAAGATCTGCAGACTTCATTCATGCTAGTTTTTATTATCTTTTCGAATTTAACCAATCAAATATATGTATGCAGAATTGATATATGCAGAATAAATCCGGATATCGATTTAACAACTTGGATTTAAATCCGAAGTTGGAGATTACTAATTAAATAAATCCAAATTTAAAAATAAATTCAGTTTCAAACTCTATTTGTATGGCTAACATAGCATAAAAATCCTTAGTTATTGTTATTGGGTCTACAAATGTAGCAGTAGCAGGTTTAATATTTTATATAATAGAATCGTGAATAAAAAAAAATCAAAACTTGCTATAATTTACTATCCGGATAATCTGGATAACTTATCTGTGGATAATCTATTATAATATTTTTTTTACTATCCGGATAATCTGGGTAATTACTCGCGGATGACCCAGATTAAGATTTTTTGAACGGTTCCAAACACTACAATTAATATTTAAAGATTAGTAATCAAATTAAGTAAGACTTTAAATTTTTAATTATCACATCATGTTATACTAGTATTATAGCCTGTCAAAATTTTGGATGATATTAGGATATTGTGATAGAACCTGAATAATTATTCACTATTTCTTTAAAATTATCTTCAGTCATTAAAAGTCTATCAATAAAAGGTTTTTTCTTTCTTCCTGTAAACATTTCTCTTCTTTGTGTGTATCTTCTTTCTTATCTTCTTATTGATCTGGTAAATAATATCTAGATCACTTTGCAGGTGTATAGAATTTAACATTAATGATTATTTGTACTGAGTTATATGAAAATTCATTCTATTAAATGTGAACTTGAAAATATAAACTTTTTTAAATGATAAAAATATGCCTAGTATTCCTTATTTGCTTTTAAAAATATTAAGTAATACTAAAAAGTTTATATTTGTCTATTTTTTGCTATAAAATCTTAAGATTTCTGTGTTTTTTCCAGACTATATTATTCTTCTAACATTTTTAATAGTTTTATTACATTATTAGTTGTTATTGTACACACTTTGTTCTTTTTGTTATTAGTCTTTTCTAATAATTGTTTAGCATAATTTAGCTATTTCATAAAGTAAAATATATAAATTTTTTGCTAATATAAAACCTTTATATATAATAGCTTAACAAATCTATATATTTTAGATTTCATAATTATGACATTTTTTATCATTTAATATTCAGAAATCTTTTATACTTTTACTAGAATTTACATTTTTTTTATAAAAGAAAGAAGATAATTAATATAGAGCTAGATATAAACTTTTTTAACAAATTAAATTATTTGCTAATAATATAAATAAACTATAACATGATATGTAACCTAACAACTAGTTGGTATATAACCATCCAGTTGCATTATAGTACTAACTTTACAGTCTATTCAAGAGCATTTGAAAGAAAACATATTCTATTATTACAAGCTAATATATAATTAGCCAGCTACTTGAGGTTTGTCAATATATCACGTAATTGTTCCAGAACTAAAACATATTCTAATTCTTAAACTCACTTACGTTAAAAATATAACTTTAAAATAAAAAGGTTTTTTTTCAAACTTATTCATAATCTTTAGATAAAAACTCCAACATTTTTCTATACAAGCTATACATCTTTGCTTTATCATTTATGAAGTGATCTGTCTTTTTTTTATACTGTAAAAATTTAAGTAGTGATAACTCCTTGTTATTAATGAGATCTTGTGCTGCTTCTTGAATTTGTAATAATTGACTCAACATTATGATAGAGCACAGCAGAAAAAATTTTAGAAATATATAAGTTTGATTATAAGCAGATATCAAAGATATAAGAACTTATATAACATTACCCAAAAAAATAGTAGCCAGATTTTTTTTTGGCTTACATTAATTTCGAAAATTGATTGTTGATAAAGTTGTATTTATCTTGATTTTGATTTTTCACTTTGACTTTTACTTCACTTTAACTTTAATTTTGATGTTCACTTTGACACCAGAGAATTTTAGGCAACTTTCCCACAAAAAATTGTTATTCCCAGTAATTTTGACCAATCAAACTTTAATATCAGGTGTAAAAACAAATGTGTTTTGTTTTTTAAATAAAAAAGTTACATATAAAATAAAACCCAAGAAAACCAGATTATAATTAGGGATAGGATTAGAATTAGGCCGCAGAAGGTGGTTTCCTAATTAAAATTTAGAGTTATTCTTTTTTTTTTGTAAAAATAGTTTCATTTCAATTTTTATGTTACACCTGATCCTGAAATTCGATTGGTCAAAATTATAGGGAATGAGCAATTTTTTGTGGGAGAGCTAGAGCGTCCAACAGAGACCATCCGAATATGAAAGTGATTTTCATGCTAAATTATCATATTATATACTGATACATAGCAATCGTATAAAAATTCGCGGGCAGATCATCAACGCATTTTTCAATCAAAAAATCAAAAAATAGTTTTGTAGTCGAAATTTTGAGTTATGGACGATTTTTTAAAAAAAGCTGGCAGTTTGTTTTGTTTTCATCTTACACCTGATCCTGTGTCATGATTGGTTTAAAATTACGTGTCCGCGGACATTTTATGTGGTTGCTATGTATAATCATATTAACATTGTTTGAGCCAAGCAAAATAGCATGACGTTAATGATCGACCAATCAAATTAAAATTTTGGGATTCATAGGGATTCAAGAAATATGTTACAAAGCAAAGTGTGAACTTCTTTAAGAATTTTTACATTTCATAGAAAGGACAAGGCACATGAGCCTTTCAAAAAAGTATTGTAAAATAATATAAAAAATTCATTATCAATTGTGTAACAACTCTGTATAACATCCACTGTCGGCTGTACACTTTGACTATCGTTTTGACTTTCATTTTGACTTTCAGTATGACTTCTGTTTTGACTTTCGTTATGGCTCTCGTTTTGAATTTTACTTTGACTTTCGTTTTACTTTCGCTTTGATTTCGAGAATATTTACTGTATTGAATTCATAAAATAAAGTGCGTCATATTTTTACAAGCAAAACAACTTCGTTTAACAATAAATCGAATCAAAACATGATAATTAGTTACATCGCTAAAATTGTATATAGTTATTCAGTGCCTCTTATTATCCGTGTTAATTTGGATGGTGAGTGCATAAGAACTTTTAATTAATTAAAATAAGTGATTCAAGTTTGTGAGCATTTACTTATTTGATTTGCATTAATCTAGCTATTTGAGTAAGTATATAATTGTTTGCATTAATTTATTGTGAGCATGAAGTTCTTTATAAATAACTATCATTACATAGTGATACTCATATCATTTTGTTTAGTTCCTGTTGTTAAGTAGAAAGATTAAGACTAATGCGTTTGTACAATGTCGAAAAATTATTATCAACGAACTTAAAACACGAGCATTTTGGTTGAAATTAGTGAAATAAAAATTCAGAACTTCAGAACTGGATAATATATTTAAACTAAATATTGTTTTAAGAAAACGGCTAGTCAGTTCTCAGAATTGATTCTGGACAATATACGTATATGATTTTGTTTTATTGGCATTATTTCGCAACTCAGGTTTCACTCTACGTATTCTATTATAATTATTTATAACTATATATATATATACAAATACACAAATTATACGCACGTATCAATGATCCCACTCATAATTAATTTTAAACTAGGGAATGTCCGGATTAAATCCAGTTTAATTTTGTATAGAGAGTCATCTCTTGTGCTAGTTGCAGAATCGACTTAAGTTTCAAAAGTTCGGTTGCAATTTACGTCGTAGCACTCAAACCTTAAATATATTTTTTTAATTATTAATGATAAGTATTAATAGACGCTGATACGAATTTGGTTTACACCCAATCATAGAAAAACTGGGCAATCATAATTTACACTAAATTAACTTTTACATCAGATTAAAATTTAAACAAACCAATTTTTACAAAAACAACAGTCTGTTGCACGATTTCTTCGCATCAACTATCCAGGGCATTTCCACATTCTATAAACGTATATATATATTTTTTAGCATAAAACTTAATTGGATTTTTAAGACATAACTGAATCAACATACTAGGACGTTCAACTCTAATGAAGAACGAATGTATTCGAATGCGTCCGATATCTGGAATAAGCAAAAAAAAAAATAAATTATCCAAAATAAAACTAATTATGTAGTAATATCCATGTACATGAAACCAGATTGGTTTTCTTTTTTCATATGAATTTCAAAATTAACTGGCTAGTGATAAAATATACCTTTAAGAAATCTGCATAAGGTATTTTATGTATATAAATAACTACTCCCAACGCCCTCTCAATATCACTCGAGAAACCGAAGTCCATTCGCTATTCATATACTACCTTATGCGTCATTCACATCAGTAACGAGGAGTTATAGAAATTTTGAACCATTACCATAAATCTTTCTATAACTCCTCAAGAAAACAAATCTTTTATTATATCGGGTGTATTTGCTTCAAACCAATAACCACTGTAATAGCTTACACGTTGTTTCAAAAGATCGCCTTTCCCGAACTTATAAAGCTGTTCAAGCCTCGACTTATCTTTAACAGATCGAATCGTACTATCGAGCGTTTTTAGGAAGTTCTCCGATTCTTCTTCTTTATTACCCGTCCATTCTCCTGCCTCAACCCGCTTACATAAAATAGTAATAGAAGAAAGAGGAGTAAAAGAAACAAGAAAAGATTCTATTTTGAAGTTGAGAAATAAAAAAAATGTAATTAGAATTTGCTGACAAATAACGATAACTACGTATAAGTTACGGGTTTTATTGGTTCTGTGATTTTTTGAAACAGGAATAGCTTTTCTAATTTGGTTTAATGATTGAAAATTAATCGATTTTTTTTGTGCTACCTAGGAAGAACCTCGGAAGACTTGATCATATGAGTGTCATTAAAAGAAAACCCGAAAATTTAAATATGATTTATATTTCAGTTTTCGGGTTTTCTTTTAGCGATACTCATATAAGCACTTTTAAGTTTTTTAAATAATATAAAAGCTTAAAGCTTTGCTGCTGCTAATAGAAAGGTCTAATCTATATTTTGGTAAGAATTTACAGTATTTTGAAAATTTTTTACCAGCAACGATATTTTTTTGATCAATAAATTTATAATAAAAATGATCGATGTGTACTCTACCCTTAACTTTGCTATCTGTAAAATTATTTTGAACCACTATTTGGAACTAATTCATCTCTGGATCCAGGCCTCGAAAATTATATATAATGCACCAAACTAAGCATGAGGAAGATATCTTGGAACAGCTTGAAATACATAAAAACTCCACTTGTTAAAGATTTTATCAATAAACTCTGTGAAGTTGTCGCCATATGAATATTGAAATTTTAAATACAAAAACGAATTTGAAATTATATGGTAGATAACCGAATATAAGAGATCAAAAATATCTTAAAGTTATTACTAGGGTTTGGGGCACGAGAAAAAATTGACATGCCCTTTCTAAATCACATGAGTGTCGTATAGTTCGCGAGCTACCCCAGTAGGACCATGAAAGATCTTTTCTAACAATCGACTCTCTATGAAACGCACTAACAAAAAAAATTGTAAAATTTTGGTATAAGTCATAATCTCAAGTCACAACTCCAACCCTAACGTAGGTTTTTATTACTTTAAAAATTCGATTGTTTAATTAGTGCAGATCATCTTATTGGTGCATATTGTCGATTTTTCATGGTCTCTCTGGGGTACACCCTAGCGTCGCCCAGAAAAAAATGGTAGCCGGCTTATTTTATGTGATTTCGGATACTGATTGCCGGATAAATTATGAATTTTTTTTATTCAATGAAAATAAATTGCATTTTTTTTTTGTTATTGCGAATAAATAAATAAAAATTAATAATTAAAATAAGGCAATTTAAACAGTTTATCTTAAGTTCATAGAATCTTTACGCACTATAAAGTAGCTTACTTTTGATCCATCAATTACAAGTTAAATTAACATAGATAACAAATCTATGAATTCACGAATTTTAATGCATTGGTTATACATTAATTAAGTATACATAATTAAGTTATGCGAATTAAAAAAGATGAGTAGCATTTAATTTATTTTAAATACTAAAGTTTGTATTTACCCTTTAAATTAACAAGAATAAATAAAAAGCAGAATCGCGAACTGAAGAGCTTATTTAAGTGATCGATCAAGATCTTTATACTCAAATGAATTAACGCCAATATCAATTCTGAGAACTGATTAACCGTTTCCTTAAAACAATATTTAGCTTAAATATATTATCCAATTCTGAATTTCTGAATTTTTATTTCACTAATTCCGACCAAAATGCTCGTGTTTTAAGTTCGTTGATAATAATTTTACAAACGTCTTAGTTTTAATCTTTCTACTTAACAAGAGGAACTAAACAAAATGATATGAGCATCACTATGTAATGATAGTTATTTATAAAGAACTTCATACTCACAATAAATTAATGCAAACAATTATATACTTACTCAATTAGCTAGATGAATGCAGATCAAATAAGTAAATGCTCACAAACTTGAATTATTTATTTTAATTAATTAAAAAGTTCTTTTACACTCACCATTCAAATTAACATGAATAATAAGAGGCACTGAATAACTAAATCCAATTTTAGCGATGTAACTAATTATCTTGTTTGGTTCGAGTTATTATATTTTATTGTTTAAAACGAGTTGTTTTGCTTAAAATATGACGCAGTAAATATTCTCGAAATCAAAGCGAAAGTAAAACGAAAGTCAAAGTGAAAGTCAAAATGAAAGCCATAACGAAAGTCAAAACGGAAAGTCAAAACAAAAGTCAAAACGAAAGTCAAAGTGAAAGTCAAAGTTAAAATCAAAGTTAAAGTAAAAATGAAAGTCAAAGTGAAAGTCAAAGTGAAGGTCAAAATGAAAGTCAAAGTCAAAGTCAAGACGAAAGTCAAAGCAAAAATCAAAACGAATATTATTTTTAAGCATGATAAACACAACATCACCGGCAATCAGTTTTCGAAATCGATGTAAGCCAACAAAAAATCCGACTACCATTTTTTGGGGCGACGCTATGTAAGCTCTTGACAACCACCTATCTAAAATTGATAAAATTTTTTTATTTTAATTCTATATATATGAATAAATAATTAAAATAAAAAAAATTTTCAACAATTTTAGATAGGTAGTCGTCGAGATATCTTCGCTCAAAGATTATAACTATCAAAAGCTGCGACAAAGTTTTATTTAAACTTTGAGCAAAGATATCTTGATAACTACCCATCAAAATCAATGAATTTTTTTTTATTCCAATTCTATATGCCAGTATAATTAAAATAAAAAAAATTTTCATCGATTTTAGATAGGTGGTTGTCGAGATATTTTCACTCAAAGTTTAGAAAAAACATGAATAACTATCAAAACAAGTTGCGGCAAAATTTTTTCCGAACTTTGAGCAAAGATATCTCAGTAACCATCTATCTAAAATTGATGAAAATTTTTTTATTCGTTCCCTGTATAATTAAAATTAAAAAAAATTTATTGATTTTAGATAGTTACCAAAATATCTTTAAAAAAAAAAAAAAAAATTAATTACAATTGAATAATTTTATCCAATCAGATGCGACTATTCAAGTAGAATTTGATGATTATAAGGAATACATTTTAGAAATTATATGATCATTCTGATATAGCTTAACGGTTAGAACGCGGGTCCGTACATTGCACTAGGTACAGGTTCGAATCCGGCTGGTGCCAGGCTCTCCATACTCGTAGTGAAGATTGCCCAGTTAGCAAATGTCAGGTGATCATTGGCCGATTAATTTAGTTATTTTGCTCAAATTTGTGATTATTGCGAATTTGTCCTACACTAAAAATCAATCTCATGATCAGATCATTCGATTTTATCACAAAATTTACCAACCATAGATTGTTTACAACCCGTACTTTTTTCGAACGTTTATATTTTCAAATTCACATGATTTTCATATAGACGAAAACTTATGTTAGAGGAAGAGTATGTACATATTAGCAGGATCATATAATTAGTTAATATCAATTTGACGCACAATATATAGTAATAAATGAGTGACGCCAAGACTTCGATCATATAAAATTTATATGATTGAAGTCTAGTTTTTCTCTTGACATCATCACATACCGGACAATAATTTTCTATACATATAGCGACTAATTCAAAGGATTCAAATATATAAATATAGTCTATATAGATTCATATTACTGTATTATATTTTATTAATACTTTTTATAAATAAGTATATAAAATCTAAACTGATTTTCATAAATAATCAGTACCAGCTTGTTTTTTACGGGTAAACATTAAATTATAAAAAATTATATAGTAATAAAATAATACAGTTCACCCTGTCAAAACTGATAAAAAAAATTAATTCACCATGACTGTTTTTGATATAGTAATTAGACCATCTAGACCAAATAACCTTTTAAAACTGATACAAAATCTGTCTACCATGTATATCAATTTTGACAGGGTAGACTGTATAAAAAAAGATTAATCATCCTTCAACAAAGATAAATAAAACTATTTATAAAATATAAAATTTTTCAAATCATTTGCTTATTTGCAGCGTTTTCTTCCTTTTTCATTGCAGCTAATTTCATTTTCTCAACAACACCATCAAAACCATTCTGAGCACATTTTCTACCAGCCAATTCGCAAGAAAATTTTAGACAACTTTCCGGAGGCATTCCTTGCGACAAGCCATATATAGCACCAGCATTAAATGTGTCACCAGCACCCACACTATCAACTACACTTGAAATTGCTAAAGCCGGCGCCGAGAAGAATTTTTTTGTTGGATTATGAAAACACATTGCACCAGCTGAACCCCAAGTACAAAATAGAAGGGCACTATATTACATTATATAAAAACGAAAAAGAGGTGAAAAGTCTAAAAAATAAAAATATATAAAAATATAAAAATATAAAAAATTAAATAACATAAATAAATAAACATACGTTTCTTTACAATAAGGACTCATAATTTGTAAAAATTCATCAGCATGATCATAACCTTTACCTTCAGCAAAAACTTTAGAAAAAAATAAAACATCGGCTTTATCAATTAAAACTTCCAATCCTCTTCTAAAAGGTTTTTCAAATTCAACACTTATAATAGCTTTATCTCTCCAATCTTTAGTATCAATATATTCAATCATTTTTGCTTCTTCAGCAGCATTACGTCCTTCAAAATGAATCCAATTAAAAGGTATAAGGGAATTATCATTCATACAAGTATCATCGAAAATTTTTTGGAATTCATCAAAAGTCAATTCATCTATGCTGATCAAAGATAAAAAAATAAAAAAAATTGAAATTAAAAGATATGTAAGGATTTATAAGATAGCATTAGCAGAATTACCTGTTATAATTTATAATAGTCCTTGAACCAGTATTATCAGCGTGAATAATATACGCAACTGGGGCATGTGTCGCACTAGGCCTAAATATACATGTTGTAGTCTTTATATTGCGTGCTTCAAAATCTTGAATCAAAAAACTAAGAAATCAAATAAATAAATAAGTATAAATTATAAGATAAATTGAAAAAAATACACGTAAGTTTTATTAGGAAATAGGCGAACAATAGTTGGTTTCTTTTAAATCAAGAGATAAGTTTTACTAGATCTATAAAATATAAACACTTACGTAGAAGCTTCTTTAGAAGCCATAGAAGCCATAAACCAAGCGTCTACGTTTGTAAACTGAGACAAAACGGTAAGCGTGTTACCCGAATTACCGCCCCTTCTTTTTTCAACCCTTTGAGCTCTTTGTTTACCATCTTCAGGAGGGAATTTGTCTACGTAAAGTATCGTATCTTCGTAAGCTGAGCCTATCGCGAGTATTTTTAGGGGGACTTGTTGGCTGGTTGATGGTGTTATAGAGTTTTTTATAACAGAACTATTACTTGTTGATTGTTCTGGTTCTGACATAATATTATTTAACAACTATAATGACCTAAATATGTCTAAACTTTTTGTTGCGAGAATAAAGAGCACTCCAAAATCGAATCAATCTGCATTTCGTGCAGATTTGTTTTTTTTTCGTTAATTCGTGCAACCTAATTCTAACGGTTGCAAAAATGCATGCAAGAAAAAAAATCTACGCAAGAATTCTTTAAAAATTAATTTAGTCTGTAGTCATACGTAGTCGTAGTAGTTAACACTATTATTTACATATTTCCAAGAATCGGACCTAAAGATCGGATAAATTCAATTTTTTTTTTAGTCAATAATATAAAAGTAGTGTACATAATAATGTGTATTGACTTTAATTATTACATATCGACACCCTACATTCGCTCTAAAAATCAATTACACCAATTGTTTTTACATTGCTTAATATAATTAATGCCGTTTAACATTAGCTACTTTTTTCATTTGAAGGATAGACGATCTTTTGAGGCTATATTAATTCAATTTCTATCCGATTCTGTTTCTATTTTTTTACTCTTTGTTCTTGAATAAACAAACAAAAAAATATATATATACAACTTTTACGAAGAACTTATAAAAAAAAAAAAAGAAATCATAAGGCTCGTCTGACTCGTCTGACTTAGGCAATAATAATAATAATAATAATAATACTTAGTCATAATAATAATAGTCATTATGCATTGTAAAATTATCAACACATCCATATTTCTTTTATTACTGATTATGTTATCAACCACTATAACAGCATACAATGTAAAATTAGAAAAAATAATAAAACGTAGCGAACGCGTAGAAAATAATATTCTAGGACTTGATAAGAGACAACAAAGATCACAATCGTTGGCTGCTTCTGTTGCAGCACCTGTTTCTACTCCTGTTTCTGCTCCAGTTTCTGCTGCTACTCCTGTTTCACAAGCATCGATTAACTCCGTCGCTCCAGCAATTACTCAGACTTCTGCCAGTTCAACTCCCGTTGCAAGTTCTACACCAGTTGCTACTCCAACTGCTAATAGACCAATACCTCCAAACGCGCAGCCTTTGCCATCTTCAACAGCTATAAACAATGTAGCAGCTCCACAAACGAATGTAAATATTCCGACAACGCTTCCCGCTTTTCCTAATTCCGGAAATCGTGTCAAATATGTAACAAGATGGAGAGTTTGGTGTAGCTGTATTATGACTTTGTCAATTTTATATATTATTGGAATTTGAACGTTAAATATCCTTTTAATACGTAATAATGTAAGTTTTAACATAAATGGACTAGTGTATGTAGAATATTCTATTTTTACGTATAATATATATAATATATAATATATATATTGAGATATATATAGTATAATAAATGCATTTGGGTTTTAAATTAGGGCAAAAACTTAATTGTGCCTTTAAATACATGTTATAAGTATCATTTATTGATTCTTGTAAGCCATTTCGCCTACCGCTAAAGTCATTTAACCGACATCACATAGGGTTAGGACTAGCATTATATCACATAGGATTCGTATTATCAAATTTTCAAGAAAAGGATCGCACTTCGTTATATTAAACTTACTAAAATCTGAATCGTTTATAATCTATACATTTAATTTATTTCGATTATATATCGATATAATTTTAATTTTACCTTGAGCTATTTTCTATTTATTTTATTAGTCAATCAAAATTTCACAAAATCATGAAATTAACCAATCTCTCTATAAGTACCTTCATATAAAAGCGTGCACTTATAAAAGTCTGACTACAACGTAATACGTATTAAATGATCTAAATCATTATATTATATATATATATATGCACTTACAAAGAGTTGACTGTGCTATTTATTACCTGGCTCTTATAGTGTTCTTATTTATTCACATGCTTATTGCCCAGATCTCAGATGCGTATTGATTCTGATCTGTTGTCATTTATGCAATCGAATTACTTTCGTAATAACGGAATATATATTTATTTATATGCTTCAGCGAAAACCTTTGACTTGGTTAAGCAATACACGTAAAGCCATACATGAATACTTATGGATCAGGATGCAAATCTAATATCGTTATATTACAATATATATATATATATATATAGTGTTAGTAAAAATATCACAATGGATATATAAAATAAAACTGGTGCATTTATTCGAATGGATAATACATATTTGATATTGTTTTACTTTATTCATAGTTATATGAATTATCGATTTTAATTCGACACAAATTAATCAATTTGATTTTATCGTTATAGTTTCAAACTTAAATTTCAGTCTGATGCAATTCTATAAAAAGAATCAAAAAAACTAGCCAATCGTTCAACAAGGCCACCAAATTTCAGGTTATAGGTTCATCGTCTAATTGAATGTGAATCAATTGCCCAGGTAACTGATTTGTACACTTTAAAAATACTTTTTGATAACCTCATTTACGTGTATCTATCTATAAATACATGTAATGAGTTTTTTTGTGTGTACTTATTAGTTTATAGGCTTCTCGATATGAAGCTTTTCTTTGTTTTCTACATATTTAGTAGTATTAAAGCATGAATAATTTGATTGGTTAATTATTACGGGGCACCACGAGAGGACTCCGGATAATTATTTATAATATGGGATAATTATTTATAGTGTGGGAGGAAATAAAATCATAAGATTCAAAGAAATTTACCTCAAAAATTTATAGATTTTATACCCACTTTTATACATACTATATATCAAAATTTTAAAATTTACCTAAACCTTTACATACCAGATTAGCAAAAATACCATTTCTGATTGACCGTACTGTTCCTGATGAGGCAGGAAAAAAATTCGATTTATATACTGTTCTTGATAGAGTTTCAAAAAAGGGGTTCTAAATACTATCCTACTACTATATCAAAGTGTATGAAATAAAGTTAGGATTATGATTCGCTTTTAGTATCCTCTAAGTAACAATACTCCAATAAAAAATTTTTTAACTCTACCAAGATCGGTACTGCTGATCCATCAGGAATTGTAATTTTGCACCAGATTAAATCACACAAAATTTTTTTGTTTCTCGTAACTAATGTTAAAAAGAATCCACCAGGGGACCAGTTTTACCGCACCATTTTTCAAATTTCCTTATTTGGGTGATCTACATAAATTAACCAATCGAATTGGGTGA